TGACTGCTCACTCTCTCTGCGCTCGTTCAAGATCGCTACTCACAATTCTTTCAAGGTCCGCCAAGATCCTTGCGCAACTCGTCTCCGCACTCTCTACTCTCACTGCAGGTCGCTCCGCCCTTGCGCGTAATCTTGGAAACTGGAAATCGCAAAGTCAAGAATGAGAGAATGAGACTGGAGCGCAGTCTTTTCTTCTCCGATTTCAAGAACGTCCAACGTTCTTACTGGTTGCAACGTACGCAGCCGGCTATACGGCTTAACGGTTCGCCCTTTGCATGCGCGAATTCACGTCTCCGCACTGCGCGCATTCGCATGCTTAAACGTTGAATTCTCCCGCCGGCGCCACCTTCCGGACTCGAGTCCGCTGCAGGGTATACGTCGGCCCTGTTGTCTTTTCCTAACCCGTCCCTCACCGGAGGCGTGTCGCCGCTGGTGCGTTCATTATCCGTCGGCGCCTTGCTGGAGGCGCACATCCAGTCGGGGCGAATTACGCCGGCGCGCAATCGTACCGCCTATTTTGTCCTTTATGCCTCGTCCGTTGCTGCCGGCGCATATCCGTCAGCGCAACTCATGCCAGCGCATCCGGCCGTCAGCGCCACGTCGGAGGCGTACATCCGACCGGCGCTTTCCTTCCATGAACAGCCGCCAAAGGCGCTTCCGACTCTGAGTTGGTTTCCTCCTATGAGCGCGTGATTCCACCAAAGGCGCATCGCCGAGGGCGTACGGGAATCCTTTCCGGCTGTGAACCCTAGCGCGAACGGCGCATGTCCGGCTACGAGTTTTCCGACGCTCATAACTTCTCCATTCCTGATCCATCTCCGACGCTCTTGGACTCGTTAGAACGAGCGTCCCGAGCTCTTTCTAATGCAACTTCAACCAACTGGATCTACCGTGTGTCTCGATTGTTATGAAGGTTTCCCTTTCCGCGCTAGCGGCGCTCCGCCGAAGGCGCACTCATGGTCGGATGCCTTTAGAGGTCCGGGCCCTTCTCCTGACGTCTTTAGCAAAACCTCCTCCTGAGGTGTCTGCGCCGGAAGCGTAGCTTCCTTATACGCTAGAGGCGCGTGAGTAGAGACACCTTAGAAAAGGAGCTTTTGCCGAAGGCGCCGAAGACGTTGGCGTTGGTACATCCGACTACGTGATTCTTTGTGCCCTCGTGACGATCTCATCAATCCACTCTATTTAGCGTACCCTTCTCTAGCTACAAACACTGCTTTGGTACTAGTTTTCTAAAATTGTTTAAATTCTGCAAAAAAAACAAAAAGTGTGTTACCACAGTGGCGAAGAAGTTATACTCTTTTCTGTCGAAGGCGCGGGATACCATGTCCACCCTCGAGGTGAAGGTGTCCGCGGCGTTGCAGCGTTTAGGACTGCGCAGTCGAGCGGAAGACTGGCAGGGTAGGGAGTTAGTGCGCGGCAGTCCGTCGCGCAGGAGACGAAGCACAGGTTCCGCGGAGTGTAGGGTAGCGTGGTTCCGTGCAGGCGTGTAGCGTAGTGCAGTGTAGTGCTAGTTAGGACTTAGAAGGTATAAAGTAGTTCAAGGCGTTTTGCCTTGGGATCTTTCCCAACATCAGAAGTGCAGATCAGGAACTCATTTTCTCTGCGTGTTTGTGTCCTTAGTTCTGTCACCACGCAAGAGGAGCTACCACTTGGCGTTCCGCATTTTGTAGCTGAAGGCCTTTGGCCGAATGTTCAGAGCTAGTACATTGTTTAGAGACTTGAGTAGGTCGGATCTACACCTGCGGGTGATTGCCGATGCTCAGAGCCAGTGACTAGTTAGATACTTGAATAGTTTTGCCCCTACACCTTTGAGTGTTTGTTCCTGATTGTCCTCCTGCGGGATTTTTCCCCTGAATGCCAAAGTGAAGTTTTGCTACTTCGTGTAAGCCTTGGTTGTAAATTCAGGTTACGCTGCAGCAGGTGTTTGTGATGTAACCCCTGTAGTATTTCTGGGAATGACAAGTGCCTAAGAATTCAAATTCTTCAATAGACTGTTATGGTGTGTTACTGGAATGTTTCTCAGTGAGTACTTCAGTGCGGACCTGTGTTCTCTGCGCGTTTTGTGAGTTGAAAGTGTTGTTCACCGGGTATGAGTGACTTCGATCCGAAGTAGGTAGTCCAAACCGGGTTTCCTACGCTAGCAGCAAGCTAGTGGAAGCGTTGTAAAAGCCGGAGTTGGGAGTCACTATCCGCAGCTTCGCTTAGTGTACTCTTGAGAGACCTTCCCCCTGAAATCTTGAGTAGAGGTCCTGATGGATCTCTGGGTTGTGTTTCTGTAGTTTCAGGTGTGTGTGTGTGTTACGCTGCACTGTGCGACCTCCGAGTGCGCTCCGAGTGGACACTTGCAGTATTTCTGGGAGTGACAGTCGCCTGAGAATTCAAACTCCTCAATAGTCTGTTAAATGTGACACTTTGTACCCTATGTGTTCCTCTGTCCCTGTGGGTTCGACCTTTCTACCACTATATTGCAGTTTTAGCCTTTAGTTGGTTATTACAAAAAATAAGTCTTTTTTTTTATAAATCACTTTTTTTATCAAAATTTAAGTGGAAAAAAAATCGTTAAATTATATTTGAAATATGGCTATAATCAAATTGCGGATGAATAAATGTACAATTTTTTTTTTACTATGAATTTTCGTTCTCAATATACATGCTACATTTATAGAATATCAAAAATCAATTCAATTATAGCATATTTTGCTAGAAATATGTTATTTTATAAAGTTTCAAACGTTTTTCTTGTACGACATCCTTATCATCAACTTGATATTGAAAATTCTGTTTTTTGTCATTTTTTTTACCAAGAACTAAATTGCCCTTTAACATACCTTTCCAATAGACAAAAAAAATGATTATCAAACATCATTTCATAATAACTCATGAAATGTGAATAGTTTTTATTTTCAAAAAATTTCTATGTTTAATAAACTCGACAGTTTTTTAAAGAAATTTAAGTTTCATGAAAATTGCATAAGTAGAATTTTTATATTCATTGATTTATAATTTTAAGCAACCAATCATATGAAGATGATAGCAATGTATTGATCTTAGAAAATAACATAACCTTGTTTAAAGAAAAATTTAGATTTCTATTCATAATTTTGTATGAATTATTGCCTAAAGTGTAATATGCAATTATGAATTAATAAAGGTAGATTGAAAAAAAACCTATAATAAATCAATCATTTGTTGATAATATACGGATTTCTAAGCCAAAAAATCATCAAGAAGATAAAACTAATATTAATTTCAAGGTTGAATTGCTGGCTAGGAATTTAATAGAAGTGAATGGTGAATAAAATTATCATAGCTTTAACAAAACATACTATATTTGAATTTAATATGTGCAATTCTTGTAATATTTAAGATACTTGTCAATCACATGAATATAATCCTAGTATTTTTGTATATCATTGTAAGGAAAAATCTACATGAAAGGAACAATTGATTTAGACAATATTTTTTTGGTGAAATAACCATGTAAATTAAAATAATCGCTTAAAAAACGAAATGCAATATTTCATGTATTGATGAAAAAATACTTTGAAATCAGAAAAGTTCTTATAAATTCTGTATGATGCACTTGTATTTATGAAAGAAATTGGACAAAGTACATGTGCTATATATATATATATATATATATATGTTTATTTTGATAAATAATCAAAAAATTGTCAACATGTACAAAGATCAATAACAAATATTATACTTCAATCTGAAATATTATATTCATATTCATCTTAGAATGAAGTTTTCAGACTTCAATGTATGTAGTAAAAAATTTTAATTGACACAGCTTGAATCCACGAAGAAATATATAGTTGACTAGATTATACTTTGTGATACTCGCAATTATATGGTTGTATTATATTGGATGCAAATTTTAACTTAGTCTTAATTTTTGAAACTGTTTGTGTATAAATATCATGTAACTTCTAAATTATTGTCAGTAAATATATTTCTTTGAATGATTCTAGATGTTGTGAAAAAATTCACTGGAAGGAGAAAATCGAATAATAAAATGATGGATTTACTGGATTTTAACTTCCATTTAATATCCATCCATTCAGATTGAGACATCTCTTCGAACCTCACATGAGTAGATGATGATGATGATCATCTAGATCGAGTGCTTATTTCGGAGATTAAAAAATTTGAAATTCTTGAAGCTCAATGTTAAGAGAGATTTAGTTACGTAGATACTAGAGAAGAAGTAGATGGACGTACCTAAACTTGTAAGATCTTCTGGTCTTACAAGTTCAAATCTCAGAATAAACAATTAGGGATTGTGATAAAGTTCGGAGAAGCTCAGGAAGTGACTCTTAGAAGGTCCAACAGGTTCAATCTCAAAGCTTAAGTTTTATTGTTTTTTTATAGTAGCTCAGGTTAAATCTCAAAGCTTTAGTTTTAAGGTCTTATATAGTAGCTCAGGTTAAATCTCAAAGATTAAATCTTAAGGTTTTATATGGTAGCTCAGGTCTGAGACGCAGATATTCATGTTATTTGCACATTCCAGTAGCACTAAAGAGAAAGTCATCTGATATACAGTTAGTTTTGACGTTAATACAGTTTACTACACCTGAAAGTGGCTCGAGTGTTAGTGTAATAGTGTCTGTGGTACTCGATCAAATATTGCTCCAAGATAATTCACATAGTAATCTTTCCTAAGTCTTAATATCAACTCTATCCCCTAAATTTCATGTCATTTTCATTCGAAAAATCCACTAGGATATTGCAATCATATCCATCAAATCAGAAAAAAATGAAATTGTCAAACTCCTAGTCTGAGCTAATTTTTTTTTCATTTCTCCACTCGCTGTTTTTTAACTTGACCTTGTTATTCATTAAATTTAAATTCTATCCTTGATAATTATGTGTATTAATTTGCTTATCGACATAAAAAATATTTTAGTACCAATAGTAACTCAGATTCTTATTGCAACAATCATCTCTCAAACTCGAGTTGCTACTATATAAGTTGACACAAGAGGCATGCACATGCAAATCTGACCACAAAATACATTATTGTGATATCAAATGTAACAAAGGGAAATCATCTGCAATCTTATTTTATACTAGATATAGCCTCCTCTATACCCGCACCTCCTCCTGCATACGTCTCTGCTGCTGCTGTGCTATATACTCCTGCTGCGTTATCCATCCCTGCCCTGCACTTCCTCTGGGACTTGGAATTATCGCACACCAAGGGTCGTCGGCGATCGAATCGTATTGAAACCGATATCGTGAGTGAAAAGGAGGTTGGGGTAGAAAGAAAATCAAGTCAAATTCAGCCAAATATTTCACCACCTCAAGTTCATCGAACACGAAAAATGCATCACTGCCTCCTGTGGCATAGAAGTTGAAAACTCTGGAATCATTTAGAATCCATTGATCTATAAATCTCCTGATAACATCTCCAACCATTGCTTCGTCCATGTTCCATCGAAATCTCCGTCTCCTGATCAAAGCTCGATCATACAAATCCTTAGCTCTCCTGATCAAAGCTCCATCCATTCTCCGGACCATGGGATTCCGGAGGAAATTGATGACATCGCTCCAACGATCAAACTCCCCTTCGAGATGAGACCAATTTCTGGCAAGTAGGCACACATGTCTTTCATACGCAGCCATTTGAAGTTCAATTGGCGTGGCTTCCATGGATTCCTCCAACAAGGCGTTCCACGTTCCCTCTTCCAGATCAAAAATCAAGAGAGCCTTCATCTTGCGCCTAACGGGATCCCAGACCAGCCAATACAGACATCTATTACATTCTACACTTCTCCCACTACCCCACACATCTTTCATCTGTTCAGGAAACGGATGCTTTCCCCACGACCATGTACAGGTCGTAGAGTCGTAAATCAAAGTTCTGCGTCTATCTGTTGCGACTAGAACTCCTCCCAGAACCAGCTTGAAGTTTTTTGTAGATTGGTCCACGACTAAACCCACCACCTTACACTCCAGCATACCATCAATGACTGTATGTTCTTCATCGATTACACGAGGTACGTTTAAAGGCAGGATTTTGTCCGGAACTGGGTTATACATGATATATGCTGTTGAAAATCGTTCACCGAAACACAGTAGGCCTCCATCAGCAGCGACCAGCTCATTGGGCCTAAATGTAAGATTCCTTGTGATCCATCGATCTCTACAGCAGAAGTAGGCCGTATTTTCACGACTTGCATTAAACCCAATGACAGATTTTTTCCATATGTTGTTCCGTAACTCAGGACCATCTATGATTTCCTTCCATTTCTTACAAACTGAACGACATTCCAGAAGAGTGGAAATTGGCAGATCATGATCTCTGAGAATCTTGATCAGGAAATCGATAGGTAGACTTTCCCATGCATCTTCCGGTTGATGCTGATCTCTTTCAGGCTCCATTCTAACGAACGAACTTTGAAAAGATCATACATATGAGTTCATCTCTGAATCTGCAATCTGCAATTTCTCAGAAGGAAACAGTACTCAGTCAAGTCAACTGTGAGTTAGCGTCGACGAACATTCTAATGCAGATTGAAACAGATGGACAAATGAAAACAATTGTGTGTTTCAATATCTGCATATACACGTGTGAAGCAGCTGTCAAACTTGAGAATGCTAGATGCAGAAGAGTGGACAAGAGAATTGTGATAACACTGACGAAACAGTGCATTTTCAGATAAAGGACAGTGAACGGGAAAGAAGTTCTCGTCACTGAGGTTCCGAACTATGAAGTCATCGACCGGAACACGGACTAGTATCCGTTGACAGTTACTTGTGCATCGGTAATTTCAGCATGTCATTTTCGATTTGGTGTCCGTTGAATTGTCAACTTCACAGTTTGAGGTATAAACTGTGAGGTATTTACAACTTCAAAAACATTATCTCAACAGTACTCCGTTGGGGTATCTTTCGGTTTTTATTGATCGTTTGAAATACAATTTGAATCTAACAGTAATAGTAATTTTTATTGATTTTCGTATCCAAAGGATATTGAGGTTGATTATCTCGCGAATAAATTAAATAAACGTTACGGCATGTAGGGCGGATTTCATAGGTTTAGCTACATTACGCAAGAGTGAAAATTGGCAGATCCTGATCTCTGAGAACGGTAATATTTACTGCAGCACACTTTTCACAGTCGATGTCTACAACGAACTATCAAACAATCAGATCGAAACAAACAATCGAACAATCAGATCAGATCGAGTCCAAGTTCTGCTAGAATCAGTACTTTTCTAGAACCGCTGAAATGTCAAGGGTGAATTTCTGGCAACACATCCGCAGTGAGAGTTTCTATGTATCCAGAACCTCATGCGTACCTTTTCTGGAGCTTCGCTTCTGGACCCGAACTGTTCTGCGCTGCAACTGGTGTGAATTCTTCTGCACAGAAAGGAACCATCAAATGCTAATTTGAAAGAAGTTCAATCTCTGCCAAACCTCGATAGGTCGGAATGGGAAACAAGACAAGAACGAGCCCGTTGACTCTTTCGACTGTCCACCACCAAATTTCACACAGCAGCAACTAAAGTTTAAGAGTAAAATTGGGGAGCTCATGATTCTTCAGGTAGCCATAAGAGAGTGCTCGAATGATGGGCGCTATCTCTACGGTGTTAGCAAAGCGGAAAAGTCTCACCTTGTGCGAGTCTGATCAAACTCTCGAGCATTCGTATCGTTGTTCTGGCTGGTAAAACGTAAAATCAGTTATCGACAGTGTCAGTGTGTTCACGAGGAAAAAACAATGGACAACAACAGTCTTGATGAACGAGAAAAACAATGGTGTGAACTCTTCTGCGCTGCACCTGTTCCCAAAGGTACTAAGGGTTAAGGACTGAGGTAAGACATGTAACTGATTGACTTAATTGATTATTAATACAATTGATTTAATTTTATTGATAAATTTGACATGTAATTGATTATTAATTATTTTTTTTATTTTGTTAAATTTATTTTTATTTCTGTCAAGGAAAGACCTGTAATTGACTGAATGAGGGAAGACATGTAGAAAAAAGACTGAAAAAATGAAGAATTAGACAGTGAAGAGTTGAAGATTGAATTTTAGTTTTGGGATTCAAGTCCAATTAAAAACAATTTTAATTCTTAATGCATATTATAGTAGGAGACAATTTCAAGAAAAATTCTTGAAATTAAAATATGAGTCAAAATATAATCAAAATAATCTATTGTTTCGTATACAAATAAATACTTACATTATGAGAGCGTTCAATGATAAAGTAATGAATTTTAAAGGTTAAGATCATCAAAATAAATATATATTTATCTAAATTCTGATTTTAGTCCTGTATTGTGCATGAGGTATTTTATACTTGATAAGTCTTCTACATGATAGATTATATAGAAACAAATGTTGTGATATTAAGGTATTTTAGAACTATAAAATAAATAGCAAGATAGATTTTGAGTATTTCTGAAGTTGTTTATAATCTTCAAATCATTATAAGAAAATTTTGAAATAAAAATAAAAATTAGAAGTATATTTTGTCATGAATTTGAATGAAATAAACACATTAGGATGTGTTTAAACAAAGCTAAAAACATCAAATAAATGAAAGATTGATATAAAATACATCCATGATAAACAAGGTATTTGTAATGTCAAATATATCAAATGCTTATGGAATGATACACATGATGAACCATCAGATAATGTTTGAGAATGATTTGGCCAAACGTAAATTATTAGTAAAAATTTTAACATATACAAAATTATGCATCATCACATGGTTATAAATTTTTTTACTTTGTAAAAAAAACTATCATAAGGTCATACATTGTTTTTTTCTTTGCACAAAAACTATGAAGATAATGAAATGATTCAAGTAGTAACAATAGTTTGTAACAATTATCAATGTTATACATGCAAAAGTATGGATCATATTGTGAAGATTTGGGCAACTCAATCAGATCAGAAGAGAAAGGACAGATGATATAACAATCTTTTATGATTCGGAATAAGATCTGTAACCTTTGTTGTCGAGTATAGTTTTACTTTTTTTGATCTTTGTCTCATACATGTCATAAAAAATCTAAGATGGTTGAAGAAAATTATTTGTTGGGTTTACTTTTGCTTGTTTGCAGTTATTCCCATGAATTTTCAAAGACCTTTAAGATGATTGGGAGTAAGATCTGTAACCATAGACGTCTCATAAAGTTTCAAAACACTTTAAGATGGTTGGAAAGAGTATCTTTTGACATAGTTGTTGGATTTACTTATGCCTGTTTGCAATTATTCTCTTGAATTTCCAAAGACTTTTAAGATGATTGGATATAGGATCTGTAACCTTCGTTTAAGAGTATAGTTTAACTTGTTTTGCACTTTGTCTCAAACATTTCTAAAACTTTACGATGGTTGGAAATAATTATTTGTGGTAATCCACTTTTTGTTTTTTTGTCGGAACTAAAACATTTTTGAATAGTAAGTACCGCGGCAGCAACTGTAAATAGTAATCGGTACGCGAAACTAGAGTAAAAAGAGGATCGAGGACAGTCACGGGGTTTTGGGCTTAGGCCACAGTGGGACGCTTGGGACGGAACGGGCGGTTCATGCTGCAGGATCCGCTTCGAGCACCTTCGGCGGTAGATCACTCATAACTTTCTCAATTCGTAACGCTTTGAGTTGCTTCGGTTCTTGTTCGAAAGAGCTCGACACGCTCGTTCTAACGAGCCCAAGAACGCCTGGAACGGATGAGGACTCAGGGAGTTGTGACAGTTGAAAGATGCGAAGGAGAGCGCCTACGGATAGGCGGAAGGAGTTCGTGGTCGGCGGGAAGTCCGCCGGGAAATCCGCCTTCGGCGGAAGGAATTCACCTACGCGTAGGCACTTCGCCATCGGCGGAATATCCGCCTTCGGCGACAGACGTCTTCGGGTCAATGCCTTCGGCGATGCGGGAGAGTGCATTCGACGGAAGAGTGAATCCCTTATAACTTTCTCGATTCGTAAAGCATTGACTTAGTTAGGGTCTTGTTGGAAAGAGCTCGCGACGCTCGTTCTAACGAGACCAAGAACTCTTGAAACGGATAAGGCGTCACTGAGTTATGAGCGTCGAAAGCGGCTGTCATGGTTAAGAGAGAGGCCTTCGGCGTTAACATATAGAGGGGCCTTTGGCGTTAACAGTTAGAGGGGCTTTCGGCCCAAGGACGCCTGCGAGTAGGCGGCTTACGACGCGGACGCGGACGCCAGCGAGTGCATAGGCAAACGCCTTTGGCGGAAGAGTAAAACCGTCATAACTTTCTCAATTCTTAACGGTTTGACTTAGTTAGGGTCTTGTTGGAAAGAGCACAACACGCTTGTTCCAACGAGCCCAAAAACGTTTCGAACGAAGCAGGGATCTGTGAGTTATGAGCGACTGGGGTGATTGTTATAGATAGGCGACTCCATGCAGACGGGAGACTGCATGCGCATAGGCGAGCGCCTACGCATAGGCGAGACTCACTTTCGGTGCAGCGTAGGAAAGGAAAGGAGCCGGCGGAAGATCCGGCTTCGGCTCAAGGGACTTCGGTGCCACGTGGCAGAAGATTCCCGATGGTGGAAGTTGGCGGGATTATGTCAAGTGTGGGACGCAGAACGGCGGGGCCCATATCTTTGCAATGGACGGTCGGATGGATCTGAAATTTTGTGGGGCCGTTGATCTCGGCCGGCCACGCATGCCTGCAAATTTTCAGCCTCAGATCTTGGATAGAAAGGCGCAGGCGGCTCTGTACAGTAGGCTTAGGATTAAGATTTAGAGTTAGGGTTAGATTTAGGTTGTAAGTTAGAGGGGAAGGCAGCCGCCGACTCCTCAGGTGTGGGATCTGTTGCGGCTTGCACCATGGCAGTGCAGTGTAGTGCTAGTTAGGACTTAGAAGGTATAAAGTAGTTCAAGGCGTCTTGCCTTGTGATTTTTCCAGTTTCGGAAGTGCAGATCAGGAACTCATTTTCTCTGCGTGTTTGTGTCCTTAGTTCTGTCACCACGCAAGAGGAGCTACACCTTAGCGATCCGCATCGTGTAGCTGAAGGCCTTCGGCCGAATGTTCAGAGCTAGTACATTGGTTAGAGACTTGAGTAGTTCGGATGTACACCTGCGGGTGATTGCCGATACTCAGAGCCAGTGACTAGTTAGATACTTGAATAGTTTCACCCCTACACCTACGTAGAAGGGAGTTCAACTTTTGTCCGATGCGCGGACGATCGCCTTCGGCGGAGGGGGGATTGGCCGAAGAGTGGTACGAACGAGTGTAGCGCGCAAGGCGAGAAATCTGCCTTCGGCGCTGCGCACCCATGTCCGCGGCGTAGTACGCTAGCGGAGTTCAAATTGCCAATTCGAGCGTGTGAGTTAAATCGGCGTCGGCGGAGCGTGAAGCCGCGCGTGAGGGAGGAGGCCGTTATAGCGCGGAGCCGGCGCGGCCATCAAGTGATTCGACCTTCACGACCAAGAGCCGACCATGACCTTCGACCAGGAGACGGAGGACGCCCCATTCTTGAATTCGCGATTTCACTTTCTAGTGCGAGCTGCGCACGTCCACCTACTAGCTGTTAAACATTCTAGACATCGCCGCGCGGAGGATTACTTGTTGACTGAGAGAGAATTGAGTGCGCGCGATTTGGAATTGAGGGAGATTAGAATTTGCAGAGGGAGCAAGAAGCTCGAGCGGAGCAGAGAGAGAG